CTGAGGCATGGCCACAGAGGGATATTGAGATAACTTGGTGTAGATGGCACATCTCTCCCCTCTGATCTTAATACCATTGAGAAGGAACACTTTGAATCAAAGATGGTGAACATCTTCTCAACACCTGTATGTTGTGACATCCATTCTGTCACTGAACAGTGACTTAGTCTGTGTTGTTTACAGAGACTGGGGCGTGGGGATTCACACAACCTAGCAAGGGAAACCAGCCAAAAGACAATGACCTGCTTGCTCCTCAGCCAATGCCTGGTCTCTTGGTCAATGAGTAACCACTCCGGCAGGCTTCACCCTGATGCACTTAACTGAAACCAGGGCTTGTAGAAGGGAGTCTTGGGTACTATGGCCAGGCATGCAAACTCTCAGGAGACAGCACATGTGCACCAGGGCCCTAAACCCTGGTAATGGTCTTTGAGAATGTGGATGTCAGGAAACAGAGTTGATGCCTAAGAGGCCAGGTGAGTATAATGTGAACTTTTTATATCGCTGGCCACTACAGGGAGCATGTGGTCACCTTTAGATAGTTACATGAGAGAAGTCAGCTTATGATTGGACTCACATACTCAACACCCTCCTTCCCCCACTGCCTGCCTCCTGGAAGCAGTAGGAACAGATGCAGACAATACATGCTCTTGGTACCAAGAACTTTCCACACACTACCCCAAAGTTGCTCAGTAATATTCACTTCCTTGTGGAGAAAAGGGAGTCCGCTTGATGCTGGGTAGCTTGCTCTTTTGCACACTCTGACTGGTTGGGAATGTTTAAATTACTCTTAGGTCATTGACACAGATTGGATGACTATTGTGGTAACAGTGTCTCTTGTATCTGAGAGGTCAACCCCAGACATCTCATTGACATCCTTTCTTTCCTCAGATCTGCAGGTTCTGCTGGATATGTACAGACAAAGCTCATCTTCACCATATGTGCATCCTGTCTCATCTAGGCAAGTGTTCAGTGAGCTGGGTGCAGGAAGCACAGCGTCTAGAAACAGACATGTTGGTGAAACTGCATTTCCTTCTTGATCCTAGAGCCCGTTTATGGGACAGTAGCAGAGCAGCTAGGACAAACCAATCCCTGTAATCAGGGCTTCTCAAGGAGACCCCACTGAGTTCTCCCACAGGAAGTCATATGGGAAGAAAAAAGGCATTATTCCTGCCTCATTAGGTCCTGAACTCCACCAGAAATAAACCAGCTATTATCTGAAAGGCCACAGGTCTAGGGTGGTGAATGAATCTTTCTGCCAGCCTCATCAATGGTCTAACATAAGCTTTTTCTAATAGGTGCCTGGATCGTGAACCCCAAGAATTCCTGACTTGCATGTGTGCACACTGAGCATTGGTGACATGGAGGAAAAAGAGCACCTCTCCCCTCCTCTTCCTGGCAGACTAGCATGCCATTGTCTGAGCTCCAGAGGAACTCAGAGGCTCCACACAGCAACAGGAGGACATGCTGTGGAGGACGATGACATGGTTTCTCTGCCACCATCCAACTACAGACAACCACCCTAAATTACCAACAAAACCTGGGGAATCTACAGGAGTGTCCCCCTGTGAAAGCCTCCCAGTGGGTACTTACTGTTGAATCCTGCCCAACTTAGACCCATCTGCATTTTGACAATTCAGAAAGTCACCTATGCCTCTCTGTCTTCACAGATAACAAAGAAAACCTGCCTGAGCAGGTAAAGAAATATCTCAGAAGAGCTTTGGGAATTAAATGTTCTTCTCTTTCTGAACTCTAGAGTGGATCTCCTGAGAAGGGTAGTATCAATGGACCACCTGTCCCTGGCCTCCTCTAACATGAAGAGGCAGAACTTGAGGTCATACATTTGGCCCATTTCTCACTGGTATTAGGTAAACACAATTTACTGAAGTATTTAATTAGAATCCCAACATAATTTCTATACATTGGCACTCAGAATGCTTTGACACCTGGAGGAGAGAAATCCAACGCTATATGAGATCTCAGCTTCTACCAGTTGTTATTCTAAAGGTGACAGATGTTTGCATTTCATCTATAGACTCAGCAAAACCCAGTCTAATGCTCAAACACAAGATGTAACAACCAATGAAACCTAAACCTAGAAAACATGGCCGAGGACAGGAGAGATCCCTCCAGACCCAGATCTTCTTCCAGGACTTCCCACAAAGCCTCAGAGATCCACAAAGTCCTACATGGAAGTAATGGAGACTGGATATGTGGAACAGAATAGAAAGCTCAGAAACAGACGCAGCGAAATCCTGCCAGCTGATTTTCTCATAGTCACCCATAGAAATCCAGGCAGAGAGAATGCCTTGTCCACCAATGATTGTAGAAGAAGATTTAAAAACAAATAAGAAACCCATTGAAAAACTGAACACAGTCAGCATTTCTATTGACCGCAAATATAAACACTATAATGCTCACATAAAGTTATAGAAGAGGACTACATGATTTCCTGCCTTATAAAAAGAAAGATCAGAAATAACACAGAGTAGATGAACTGTGGACTCGGGAGCCCTGCTGCCACCAGACATGAAAATAGAGAAGCTGGAGCATGGCTGGAGCAGACACTCCCCCAGGACGTCTAGAGGGAGCCTGGCCCCTGACACACCCCAGCAGACAACAAATCCCTGACAGTGAAAGTTGTGTGGCTATGAGGAGGTGGAGGTGTAGTGTGTGCTGTGTGGTGTGAGGATGGCTGAAACCTATCACACCATGATGGAGATGAGCTGTCCAGCTGATCTGATAACAGCACTGTATTGATGGTCCAGTCAGCTGGGGAAAGCAGCAGGTCTGACATCTAGATACTCACATGTGCTACGCATGCCTCTGCCACTATTAATAACTTATATACAGTCCCAGTTTAAGGACATGAAGGACTCACCTCACCCACACTCTCCACAGAGTTCTCTAGGTATTAGGCCTAGGTATTCAACTCCCTTCTGATGTCCCCCACACAATGATAGATTCTAGACCATGCTAGACATGCCTCCAACCACAATGTCCTAGGACATGGGGAAATGTACCAGGCCCTGTTGCACACTTTATCTTCTGACAAGGACACACATTTACTGCTTGGTTCAAACACTCCTGGAAACTTCCTGCACTGACATACAACACTAGGTATAATGCAACGTGGGACACTACACCCATGCCACCTCACTTGTACTACCAGCTGTCAGACCATGATAACCAACCTCTACAACACACACACACACACACACACACACACACACACACACACACACACACACACACAGCCTCTCACACACTTCTAAGTGTTGGGCCATGAATGACTTCTCACCCAACCACACATTGACTGCTAGGTATCCGGCATTGCTAAACCCTCAGACATACCTCACATGTATTCCTAGGTCTGGATCTGGTATGTCACCCACATAATCCTTTATTAACAGCTACTTATCAGGACATACAGGACAGTCTCTTGCTACTGTACCCAAATACTCTGCTGGTATTGGACCCCACTTGACATCTCATCATCCACTGCCAACCGACTTCAAAATGTTATCAGAACTTGACGGACACCAGCTCAGCCATGAGCTGACACACACTCAGTAGGAATTGTGCAGAGCTCGACACCCCATTCTCCCACTGCTCCCCTCTGACATACAGTTATCATCAAACACACTGGACACACCACCACCCCTGTGACCACACATCCACTCTAGGTACCAGGTCCAGTTTGACCTCATACCCCACATTAATCGACAGCCATCAGACCATGCTGGGAACATTCCCCCTGTCAGGTCTTGCACAATACCTAGCAATTAGCATTGATGGACCCCCTCCTTCTGCTGAAGACACATCCACACTGCTAGGCATCAGCTTCTACTGGACTCCTTCCTGTGCTATACCATGTGCTGGGTCTCAGGCTCTACTGCTGGTTATTGGGTCATCCTGGACATTAACCCCTGTCCACACCACAGTGCATATAAAGTGCTGTGTGTCAGGTTCACTTGAGCACCAGGCTCCATCACATGGGACATGCTAGGTACCAGACAATGTTGACACACACCCTTACCCCCAATATACACCACTGGTCCAGTGAACATTGCAATTTTAAGGCTCTTCTAGACACCTCCATCACTGACATATCAAGTTTCTTGCTATCAGACACTACCACTCTTTGCAGATTTCAGTCATGTATATTGAAGTTTATTGTATGCATATACAATAATTGGCCATGGGTGTAATCACGCCTGAAAATTAGCAGGGCTATTGTGGCAGCAGGATGGGTGAAGGAAGAGAAACTTATTAGATGAGGCCTGTTATCATGCACAATATCCGGGTTAGGACTGGGGAGTCCTGAGGATGTGATACACAGTAGGGCATCCAGGCCTCAGGCAGGTGTGCAGCAAAGCCTGAAACCAAGCAGTGTGTTTCAGGCTATAGTGGCAGGGGTAGGAGTGTCCAGCCGGGCAGTGGTACATGGGTGGGTTTGGCAGCAAGACTGGGGGCAGTAGCCAACAAGGTGCTTCTGCTGCTAGATGTCCATTACCTACAGCCCATCTCTGTCTCTGTCTCTGTCTCTGTCTCTGTCTCTCTCTCTCTCTTTCTTACTCCTCTCTCTCTCCCTTCCTCTCCCTGATTCTTACATACACACACATGTATATATGTACATCTAATCCACTATACTTATAGGTATATACTTGCCTAGAGACAAAGACTTCCAATACCTGCAATTTGACTGGTCCTTCAGGGTATTGCCTCCATTACAGGCAAAGCTACCCCCTCATCAACACACAA